GGGTTTCACCATGTTGCTCAGGCTGGTCTTGAACTCCTGACCTTAGGTAATCTACTTGTCTCTGCCTCTCAAAGTGCTGGGATTACAGGCATGAGCCATCAAACTTGGCCACACACCCAGCTAATTTTTGTATTTTCAGTAGAGACGGGGTTTCACCATGTTGGCCAGGCTGGTCTTGAACTCCTGACCTCAGGTGATCTGCCAGTCTGTGCCTCCCAAAGTGCTGGGATTACAGACGTGAGCCACCACACCCAGGTAGTGAGTGCTTTTTATTATCAAAGGGGTTGGATCTTGTCAAAGGCCTTTTTTTGCATCAACTGAGGTAATGATGTGGTTTTCCCCTTTCATTGGATTAATGTGGTATATTACACTGATTGATTTTTTTGTTTTTTTGAGACAGTTTAGCTTCATCGCCCACGCTGGAGTGCAGTGGCATGATCTTGGCTCACCTCAGCCTCTGCCTCCCAGGACTAAGCAATTCCCCTGCCTCAGCCTTCCAGGTAGCTGGGATACAGGCACCCGCCACCATGCCTGGTTAATTTTTGCATTTTTAGTAGAGATGAGGTTTTGTCATGTTAGCTAGGTTGGTCTCAGACTCCTGATCTCAGGTGATCCACCCACCTTGGCCTCCCAAAGTGCTAGGATTACAGGTGTGAGCCACCATGCCCGGCTCTTTAATTTCTTTCAGCAGTGTTAAATTCTTTTTAGTGTAGAAGTCTTTCACTTCTTAGGTTAAATATATTCCTTTGTATTTGATTCTTTTAGATGCTATTGTAAGTGGGACTGCTTTTTAAATTTCCTTTTCAGATTGCGCATTGCACGTGTAGCTGTGAAGAAACACAGCTGAATTGGTTAATTTCAGTAGCTTTCTTGTGGGTCCTTTGGGGTTTCCTACATATAGGATCATATGGTCTACAAATAGAGGTAGTTTTACTTTTTCCTTTCCGATTTGGATGACTGATTTCTTGTTTAACTGCTCTATCTAGAACCTCCAGTACAGTGTGGAACAGCAGCGGTAAAAGCAGACATCCTTGTCTTGTTCTTGATCTTAGGGAGAAGATTTTTGGCTCTTCACCATTGAAACACGTTACATGTGGATTTTTCAAAAAATCCCTTTATCATATTAAGGAAGTTCCTTTCTGTTCCATCATTTCTCAGTGCTTTTTATCATGAAACCTGTCGGATCTTGTCAAAGGCCTTTTCTGCATCAATTTAAGTGATCACGTGATTTCCCCCTTTCATTCGATTAATGGGGTATATAACTCTGATTGATTTTCTTGTTATTTCCTATAGCGCTTTGCATGCCAGGATAAATCCCACTTAATCATGGTGTATAATCCTTTTAACATGCGTTGGGTTCAGTTTGCTAGTGCTTTATTGAAGGTTTTTGCATTTATGTTCATGAGACATACTGGCTGGTAATTTTCTTTTCTTGTGATGTTTTTATCTGGCTTTGGTATCAGGGCAATGCTGGCTTCCTAATTTGCATGTGTTCATTTCTGATTTTTTAACATCACAAATTTATCATTAATTTTCAGTCTTGCTTCTTTTCTCATGCAAGTATTTCAGGAGGCAAGTTTTCCTCCAAACAATGCTTTCAGCGCAATTTTTTTTTTTTTTTTTGAGATGGGGTTTCACTCTT